TTTTTTTCTGGTGTCACTTCTGTCTTTCCTCTCCCTCCTGTTCTTCAGTTCAGGATTCAAAAACTGCAGATGCTCTGAAATAAGCATGACTCACACCTTCTAGTTTATTTTGTGAATTGTCCAGCACATGATGCTGATGGGAAAACGTTGGGAGTGGAGGGGGTGGGGAGCAAGAGATAATTTTTAAGACCCAAAATAGGAAATGCTTGGAGCACGCGTGTGGTCCCTGGGTTGTTGTACTGGCTGATGTCCCAGAGCACATCATATGGACCACATGAACCAAGGGGGGCCATGGGCCCTCGACAGATGTCAAAACACAGTCTAAGACTTCAAGCATAAGTGGGGTGTGTGTTTTGCTGTAAGCCTTGCCTAAGGAGCCAGTGGGTTTGACCTCTTGTAGAGACAGTGCACATTCACACTGCCCGTTCCTGGATGTTAAATACCTCTCTGTCATACACCTAAGAATCAGTAGTAACATCTGAGACTGCCTTTGCTCCTCTGTTGTGGTTACCTCACTCTCTTTGAAGCAGTTTGGTGTTAAAATGCTGAGCTATGGAGCTGAGGTAATGCTGGAGTAAACTACTGAGGCAAGTGTTAGAACGTAAAAAGGAAACGGTTATTTTGTGAAATTTGGCCAAGTTGTTATACCTGGAGACATTCTTATTTTGCCCATAAAGACAAGGCTTGCAGCCATTCTTGCAACAGCCTCAGATGCCCTGATTCAGAGTGGCATATTTTTGGGGTGAACTTCTACAAGTGGAGAGTGGGAGAGCCACTCTGCAAGCTCTTCAGGATCCCACAAGCAAACAACTCCCTCTTTCATGTCACTGCATGGATTTTACAGCCCACCACTGCTGCATAGGATGCTGCTTCCAGTCATGCTTCTGCCCTTGTCCACATCTGCTGGCTTTGGCAGTGGCTGGGATTCCTGGCCTTGCATCTCTTTCATTAACAGCTATGCCAGAAGCACTTATCCCAGCCTTGCTCCCTGCTGTGCCAAGGCAGATTGGCTTAATCAGGCTAAGGTCAACCTGTTGTTAATGTTTCATGCTTCACTGGATTTGCCAATTGTAGCTGCTGTGATTGCACCCCTGCTGCTTGTTGGACTATCTGGTTCATGGCTGGAATCTAGAGATGGGAAGTCATATTAATTTGCAGCAGTGAATGTAACATGAATCTTACCTTTCTTACAGTAAGGAAATACAAAAACAGATTTTGTCCCCCTTAAACATAAAGCTGATTGGAGAGAAGGAATTTTGAGTCTCTCTCTGTCTCTGGGGCCATCTTATTTCTCAGCACAAACCCAATGGACGTACCTAGTAACCATGGAATCACAGAATTGTAAGAGTTGGAAGGGACCTCTAGAGATCATCTAGTCCAACTCCCCTGCTGATGCAGGATCCCCTAGAACACATTACTCAGCACTGCATCCAGGGGGGTCTTGAATATCTCCAGAGAAGGGGACTCCACAACCTCTCTGGGCAGCTTGTCCCAGGTCTCTGTCACCTTCGCTGTAAATAAGTTTTCCTTCATCTTTAAATGGAACTTCCTGTGTTCCAGCTTGTTCCTGTTGCTGCTTGGTCTGTCACTGGGAACTACTAAAAAAGAGTCTGGCTTCATCCTCCCTGCACCCACACTTTAGATACTTGTAGGCATTAATAACATCTCCCCTCAGCCTTCTCTTTTCCAGGCTCCCAGCTCTCTCAGCCTTTACTCATGAGGGAGGTGCTCCACTCCCCAACTCTGAAACTTCACTTCAGACCATGTTTGGCTGCTCCACATCTCAAGTTTTTTTAGTTGCCTCATTGTTGAATTCATGTTTTCAGGAATGGAGTGTTGTTTTTTCTCACTTGCAGTTGTGGTCATGCTTGGCTTGGTGCTGCGGTGCGGGGTCTCGTCTCGAGGGAGTGCCCTGCTCTTGCCATCACACCCAGTCTTGCTAGAGAGTTGCAGGTGTCCCCATCTCTTGCCACCTGGCTGCCTGACAGCACTTCGTTGTGTTTGTAATGGGATGTTCTCATCTTCCTTTACACATTGTTCTTGAGCTGATGGTACTTGGGAATAATGTGCTCAAATGAGTTAGAGGCAGCCAGTCCAGCCAAGTTTCTGACAGTGACGAAAGGTCTTCTCGTGCTGTCTGTCCTGCCAGCAACTTCAGCAGCACAAAGCAAGGTCTGTCTGCTCAAGCTGTCTCACTGTGGGTTTGTGAGAGCAGCTTAACAGAGTGTATACACAGCCAAGTGGCTTCTTCAGCAGTGAACAAATAAATCCAAACCTATGAGCAAGCCCAAGGCTTGCTGCTGCCCTGCCAACCTCCTCTGCAAGATGTCCTCTGTGAGCCCAGACGCTTGAGAGCTTCCAGTGTGCATGTCATGAATAGCACTCCAGTTTCCCCCTGTCTGTACTGGACCTTGATGGGGCAATCAGCACAGTTTTAGGACACAGCCCACTGTATTAATACCTAAGCCCTGTAACTTGGTGGCTCATCCCCGGGCATTGTCCCCACTTGCTTTGTCCCTGTTTAACTTTGGAGACCCATAAACTACTTCCAGTAGATCTTTGGAGGAGCAGCTAGAAGAATCAGACCCACCAGTAAAACATGACAGTGTGTTCACTAGGCCTTTTCATTGAAGGACTGCATGTTTTGTTTAGGAAGTTTTTGTGACCCATCAATCAAAAAGGGTTAACAGTCATTGCTACATTGTAGCAAGGAAGCTGCCCGGATGAGACTCTTGGGGCAGGTGCAAAACTGTTACTAGCAGCAGTTCTGCCAGGTCATCCCACTTTCCCATCTGTAGGCCAAGCATGTTTCCGTCAACATGTACTTCCCAAACAACTAGAGAAGTGTGTGGGTAGGATGGAGTAAAAAACCATAAACAACAAACAAACCGAATCCAAAACAACACATGTGCCTCTGGGGGAAGATGGAGTGAGCAGCGCCATGACCAGCAAGGCAGAGCTCAAATACTGCAGGGAGCAAAGCAGTGTAGGAGCCTGTGTAGAAAGGAAGTTGGGAAGGCTGGGGTTGCAGCTGTGTCAGCATTTCTTACAGCAGCAATCTTTATACAAAGAATATGCAGCTCCGAACTGTTGAATCCTTGCTCCTGTGCTGTCAGCCTTGTCTTGCTAGTACAGCTGTTGATGCAGCTGTGAAGTGGACTTGCTCTGAGACCTACTGCAGTTAAAAGTAACACTTCCAACTCCTCTGTGTTGTGTGGCCTGATTTTTTTATTTTTATTTTTATTTTTTTTTAATGGCAGGAGCAAGTGATACTTCTTGAATATGTAGTGGTAGAAGCACAGCCCTAGATTTGGGCAGACTGTGGCTCTGTATTGAGGTATCTTTGCTTAGCTCTGTAGGGCTCTATAGGGTTCAAATGTCTGAGTTGGACGTGCTTTTCTAGCAGGCCAGATGATGCTCATGGTAAGCAGAAGGTGGTTGTTCCACAATTGTGCTGTGAAGCTGAGGAAGTATTAGGGATCACAGAAATCAAGTCTCTGTGGGCAAGATACCCATGCCCTATCCCATAAAAATCTGTCTTTATGACCATCAAGTACCCCAGGTGTGTCACCCATGAATAGCACTGCTTCCTGCAGTTCAGCTGTGTCTTTTTCCAGATCAGTGGCTGAAGGCACCATTTTTTTCTTTATATACAAATGCCCATTGAAAGTGCTTCAGTGATATTTTGTGTCTTTTATCCTCTTCCCTTTTTAAAAATAAGTTGCAATAGAGAAAAAAAAAAAAAATCAACAACAAAACCTTAATTACACCATCCAGAATTGTACATGCTTAAAGTTAGTTGCTATGGGATCGTATAACCTTAATCTTTGTCCTCATCTCCACCCTGTTTCTTGTCGCTCTCCTTCCTCAAAGAGCCACTCTAGCTGTTAGAAGTCTTTTGTCAACTGCAAACACCCTCCAATGCGGAAAGACTCAACCAAAAACTCTGTGAATACCATAAGGGATAAAACATTTATCTGACCCCTCAGTACAGGCAACTAGAAGCTCCTCTAGATATTTTCTAAAGATAACTGAGTACAGAGGAACATCTCAGTGTTTTTCTAGTGAAATATGTGCATCAATGTGAGAAGAGGGAAGGCTTGTGGGATGGTGGCTTGTGAAGACATGGCTGCTTTCTTGTTTCCTTGCAGTATTTTCCACCCTTTGTGGTGATGGAAATGTTTTATCTTCTCTGTCTTTGAACCCATACATAAATGGATTCCTCATAAATTCCCCTTGTGGTTTTGGAGTGTTATGGGGTTTTTGGGTTTATTTTTGCTTTCTCTTCTAGACTGTTGCTGTGCTCTGATAAAGAGAAACCTTGGTCTTCCCTGAAGCTTTTGCCAGTGTCTCTTCTCTCCCCCTGCAGCTTCAGAAGCACCTTGTACTTCTCTGCTTTGTGCTGCATATTTCAAATGGGAGATATTCCCCTTTCAGGTCCTGCTAAGCTGCTTAGCTTGTCACACTGAAGGGGAAAAACAAGTGACAGACCCCTACAGTGCAAAGTTTTCAGTGTCCTGGCCTTTAACTCCCCTTGAAGCAGATGGGAACTCTGTGTATGGCAGGTTTGCAGAGCAGGGCCCCATACTGCAGTTTGGGGGCACAGGTCAGTTTGTCCTTGGTTCACTGGGAAGTTGATGTGTACCTACCACCAAAAGACTGACCCTGATGTGTGTGCATGTCCCTGTCCCAGTATGTACGTGATTTGTGTTTTGATGTCCTCCTGCCTATCATAACAAGTTAAAAATAAACCTTGGTGTTTTTCTCCAGTGTGGGTAGAGCATTCCTTCGAAAGTTCAAGTGTGAAAGTGATCGGCATTGGCAAAAATCTGCTCCTGTCAGACTGCAGCCAAAGGGAGCTTGTTCCCTTCCCATTAGCTTGTCTCTGGGTTGTTTTCAGCATCTTTTTAAGAAGCTGTGCTTATTGCTGCCAGTAGCACTGTGGTTGATCCCGAATCTGGGTTGTAGGTACTGATCAGCATCTAGTCTTGATAAAGTCAATGAAGGTTTCAGGAGATGACTGTAAAATAATTCCTGAGCTGGTAGAAATGCCTCACAGTGAGAGCCATGGAGCTCAGTCTGTTCAGCTCTGCAGAGGGTGATATGTGTGCATGTGCCTTTCTGCAGAGAAAACACTATTCTTGGAGTCTTGGCAAAAAAACTCATAGTAAGCACAAACATTTGTCCTTGGTTTTAGCTGAACATGCTCTATGTGAAGATTGGTATAAATGTGGGTGGAATACAGAGTTTTATACACCAGGTCTGGTCCAGTGGTGATGTGGACAATTCTGGTCTTAAACTAAAGAAGCAGAGGTGATAGGAAAGTGGAGAAGCCTTGTTTTGGCAACAGGGACAAACAGGTACATGTAAAAGTAGCCACAGGCGCAGGAGGGGCAAAAACCACTTGAGTCCAGACACTGGCTACTAAAAAGTGTCAGAAGTCTGTGTGTGTGTATGCTCTCCTGACACCCGTGGATCTTTTGATGCCTCTTTTTGGTGGTTGTTATGGGTGTTCTTTTGTTTGTTGTTTGTTCTGTTTTGTGTTGTTTGGGGTTTTTTTGTGGGGGTTGTTTGTTTTGTGTTTGTGTGTTGTGTTTTGTTTTTTTTTCCCCCCTGATGCTGATTCTGTTGCCTTTTTTACCATTCCAGTGTGTCGAGACTTTGCTGTTCTGGAAGATCATACCTTGGCCCATAACTTGCAGGAGCAAGAGAGTAAGTAGATCTTTGGAATAAACTGAAGCAAATTTGTCCTGACAGATACCTGGTTTTGTTTGTTTTTGCTAAGAAAAATCCTCCCTGTTTCTATTTAATTTTTATTCTTTTAAATAGAATATAAATTATTATTTCTGTCTTCACTGTCTTGTATCACAACTGTGTTCTTCCCCAGTGCACATTGTACGTTAGAGATATTCGCATTTCATGTTTTAATGTTGTGTTTTAAGTTTATGCCTTTTATGACAAAACTGCCTGTGGGAGTGGACTTGATGTTTTGTTGCTGTACAGGGTTTTTAGAAATGACTAGCAGTTTTGGAAGCTTCAAGTTTTATAGGCTGACCTGAGGTGCAACCAGAAGAGGTCTGTTTGTTTTACTTATTTCAGAATGACTAGTGCCTGCCTTTTGAAAGGGGGCTTCCTTTTAAGACATTTTGAGGTAGGGCAGCTGTATGCTGCAGGGTTTAAAAAGGAGGAAAAAAAGTACAGCCTGGATCTTCAAAGTGGCTGGGTTTTTTTAGGGGTTTTTTTTTACATGCTTATCAGTTACTCAGGGTATGTTTGCATTGCAGTTTCAGCTGTGCTGGCCTCTCTATTCTGCTTTGCTGGATGCCAAGACCATTGATATCTACCAGTACTAGGTGCTAAAATAATTCCAGCTATTCTCCCAAAGTGTGCAGCTTGAGCTGAAGTTGTGCCCTTGCTGCTGGAACCTGAGACCACTGAGTTAAAACTGGCTCTCAGCTGCAGCTTGTGTAGCCATCTTTTCTTGCAGGCAGTATCCATGTATGGTAAAGGACTTGCTCTAGTATTCAGTTGCTAAATATAAAGGTGGTGAGATTCTGGAAGTGATTATATTGAGAGTGTGAGACGTTTCCTCCTCTGGAGGTTCCTGAGAGCAAATTAAGGAAGGGTCCATCAGAAGTGGTTTAAGTTCAGCTCATCCTCGCTGGCTTTTGGTGGTCCCTTCCAGACTTTATTAACACAGGGTAATTTCACATGGAGAGAAAATGACATTTTCTAAAAGTATTCCCTACAGCTCTGGATGCGGTTAAGATATGTAGTTCTTGTTTTGGTAACAGACACGCGTACACAGCCCCCTCAGAACTGAAACAAGGCACTCGCAAGCTGCCAGCATCATTTCAGTTCAGAACTTCACCTTTAGAGATACTATGTAATGTTTCCCTGCCAAGAACTATCTTCCTTTCTGGCCTGGAATCTCCCTCCCATTTGTCTTGTTCACAGTGTGAAGTTTTGCAGGCTGATCTGAGGATTCTTGTCTGTGTTTTTTTCCAGTTGAGCATCACTTGGCAACAAATGTTCAGCGTAATCGTCTGGTGCAACATGACTTGCGGGTGGCCAAGCAACTGCAAGAAGAGGAGGATCTGAAAGCACGTGCTCAAATCCAGAAACACCAAAAAGACTTGTGAGTTTGGCATGGAGCTGTTGAAATGCTAGTTCAGTTAGGTTAGAGCACTAAAATTGGCTGCTTTGATTTGAGTTGATTGAAAGTATGTGGCGTTCAGACCGGTCAGCCTTTTGCTTCGTTTTCCTTTTTCCTTTGGCTATCCATTGCCTTAAGAGTATTGATACTAGGCTCTGGCAGAGTAATGAGAACTGGGTCAAAATAGGTGGTTCTGGGGCCTCTCTTGACTTAGATTCTGTTGCCTGACCATGGGAAGGAGCCTTCCTGTACTGCTGCCTATTGTCAGAGTGAGGTAGCTTGGCCACTTGCATTGCCCTTGTCTGTGACTGAAGTCTGAGAAAGAAGAAACCACACAGTAGTAATACCCCTTGTGACAGTGAATTTTCTCTCTTGTGGAAATTGCAGATGTTGGTATGTTTGCATTGTGCCTGATGAATGTTTTTGAGGAACTGGGTGCAATAATTTTTTGGGTGTCCTGCTACACTGAACAAACAAGTGCACTGAAGGTACCTGCTTGTGCTTGCACATACTCCAGCATGAAGTGTCCTTGAAAGAGGAGCTGCTGACCCAGGGTCAGTTGGTGGAGATGGGTGTTGGGGGACAGGCCTCCTCTCGCAATTACCAGCAGCTGGGGGAGGATGTTTAAGAAGTGATTCAGTCTGCTTCTCAGGTTTGCTCAGGTTCCATACACTAGAGCTAACCCTGTGGCTTGTGGTCTGGCTTTCCGTGTGCCATGGCTGTGCAGCTGGCACACCATGCAATAGAGAAAAAAATGCTTGGAGAAATGAAACATGGCAGTGTAGGGCAAAATAAACTGTTCTTTTCAATCTAGAGTTAACATGGGGCTCCCCACAAATGCAGGCTCTGCAGGGCATGGTGTGTCTCCTGGCTTGTGTTGTGCTCTGTGAAACCACCCACCAGGTACAGCTGTTGGTAGATCCCAAACCGTGGGTGGCTCATCTGGCAGAGACAGAAACAAGGGTTCTGTATTGCAGATGTGTGAGATACAGGGCTAGCTTCAAAGAATCTGCTCATAAAAGATTTGAAGCTGGGGCATGACAAATCAGCCACTGTTGTCAATGTTGCCAGCATACTTGGTCAGCACAGGGTAGGTTATACATGTGTGTATCTCAAGTCTGTGCTTGCTTTCAATAGCTTTGTCTTCATTACCAATTAGAGACGTGAGTGTGTAAATGACAATGTAAATATTAATTTTGTATGACAGAGATTTTGATTTTGTTCCTTGCTGGGAACTGCAAACAATTTGATTGTTGTAGGACTCTGTAAAATGGGGTTTGCTAACTTTGTGAGCCAAGTTACAGACAGAACTTCTCATACAAAATGCTGTGTCAGCAACTGTTCTGCTCCTGAAAGCATAAGTTCTTCTGCAAGAATAGTAAAAACTTTGCAGTCATCCTTCTGTAATTGGATCTTTTTCTTCCTTAATCCTCTGTACATTCTCACTGTTTCTTCCCTGTGCAGGGTGTTCTGGCAACAAAATGATCCTTGCTCCTCACTGTGTCATCTAGGATGGTTTGACACTGCAAGGTGATGGAGGAGTAAAGACACTTTCTTCTGTGTTTCAAATCCTAGATTCTTTCACAAAGACTTTGTGAAGATAAATAAGAGGAGATACAACTTTTCTGCTCTTTTTAAGAATTCAGGGAAACATCAAACCTTATTTTCATGTGTTTTTTTTTTTTTTAAAGGCATCTATCTCTCAGGTCTAGCTGAGCAGCCTGCACACTGCTAAGCATAGTAGCAAGGTTGCTAAAATAGCTGTTGGAAACATTGTGAAAATCTGCGCTTTCCTCATTTGCTCCCAGTGCTGTGATGGTTCTGTTACAGGAATGTGAACAGTAGCTTTGAAGAGTTTTCCTAAACCCTTTAATTTTTTTTTTTTCTTTTTTTCTCCTCATCTGGCGACATTTACTTGCTTCAGCCAAAGCAAATGGGAGCTTTCTGAGCACACTGAATTCCCCCCCTTTCCTAAACTGATGTAGTTTGCCTTACAATCTTTAACACTTCTGGTTTACAGGAACAAAGGACACATAGTAGCAGTGTTCAGGAATGGTGACATTTTGCTCTTACTTAATTTCTGGGGACTGACTTCTGGGGACTTAATTTCTGGGCACTTGAGATCCCACTAAAGGAACTGAAGGACGACAAGAGCTGGCAAAGCTCTTTAAACTATTTCCTTATGCTCACTCAAGTTGAAACACTAGCTTATGTTGATAACTAATCAAGTCTCAGTATTTAATTACCACTGAGTAATAAAACCCATACCTAATCCTCTCTTGCTGTTCAGTGTTTTTTTTGAGATTTATTCATGTAATCAAGAACTAGAAAATGCTTCTACTTTTGCATTATTTCTAGTGTTCTTTGCTGTGAATGGAGAGGCAGTGACCTTGTTGCCTTGGCTCTGGAAGACAATTAGCTGTTTCTGTCTCCTGTTTTCAATAAGATGTATTTTAAGCATTTAGCAAGTCAGTTGGTTCTGATGAACTTGGCACCTCTGCTCTGTTCACAGGTGCTGGGGGAACTGGAGACGTGCAATGCCTTGATATGTCTGACCTTTCTAACTTATTTTCTACCTGGGTTCGTGTCCTCTGAGACTGGAGTCATAAGGGATCCAGTGTCTTGGGTCTACTGGTAGTATGGTCCCCAATATTTGCATTTGCAGCTATTGTTTTGCTGGAGATTGTGGTTTCCTGGTGGTACCAGGTTTGCCAAGGTCCATTCTTATATGGCAGGTTCAAGAACTAGATTTGCTGCCTTGTGAGCTTGGATGCCCCCTCCCTGGAGGTGTTTAAGGACATGTTGGATGAGGCTTGTGCACCCTGGTCTAGTGTGAGGTGTCCCTGCTTATGGCTTGGAGGTTGGAACCTGATGATCTTTAACATCGCTTCCAACCTTAACTATTCTATGATTCTATAATAAGTTCAGTAGGTCATTTTTGCCCTGATTCTTGCTCAAGCCTGGAACCAGTTGCTGCAGCACACACAGCCTGACTTTGATACAGCTCAACCTGCTTCTCTTGAAATATTTGCTCGACTTCCATAATACGCTCTTGGTAGTTTTCCCATCCGCTATCTGATCCTTGCCAGGATATTCTTCAAAAGATTGCATTCTAATAAAGCAAGCGCTGCCTGTTGCTGTTCCCATCCCCATCTCCTTCTATGCCTTACCTTTCCGTAGTCTCAATTGCAGAGTTAACTTTTATTATATATATTTTACCTGTTTAGGGTTAGTCTTTGGCTCAAATTCAACACTACTGAAAGAGAAAGCTCATAATCTTTCTTCTCAAATCCCTCAGCCCCTTTCTAGGTTGCCGTAAGGAACCCCTGGCCATCGTTCCATCCTGTTTGCTAGGTGTCAGAGCCTGTGGCTGAGTGTGACTCAGTTTCTCACAGATGCTATCAGTAAGATGTCCCTGAAATATGGCCTTCCTGGTCTGTCCACACAGACACAGCTCTCATGTCTCAATTACTCCCATATCTCTTTTGCTGTTTCCAGTTAATAAAACATTGTGTTGCTTCTCCATCTGCAGTGGGCAATTGCTCCCTCACCCCTTGTTTTGACATGTACTGCTCCCTTATCTCTTGGCACTGGTTCTGCCTTTGTATCTCATCTCACCTCACTGGCATTTCTCATTCATTTCTGAACTGCCACTGCCAATCCCTGCTTGGCCTACTTACTACACTTTGCTGTCAGCATTTCTGCACTTTATCCTTGGCTTTCATGTGAAAACCACTTCCCAGAAATGCCAGTGTTAACCAGAGCCCTAAACCCCTCCTTTTGGCACCACAAGTACAAAAACTCCTGGGCAAAATTTGACTGTTTGCAGGGACTCTTCTGCGCTCCCTTGCCCAGCCCTATCCTATGGTATTACCCCCTTTCTTAGCAACCTACCTATGCATCAGTTTTCTCTTGCTTTATTCTCTGATTATGAATGTTTTGGGACATGTTTTCTAAGTTTGGCCAGCAGTAAGTACAGGGAGTCCTGGCCCATGGGAAGGATCCATAGGCTCTACACTAATACTGAGTAATAATTCTGTGTAAATCAGATAGTTCTTTTGCTCTCTTATCTTTTTCTCCAGGCTGACTGATGCCTGTGACTTTAGCTGCCTTTAATCCTTGTCTCCTTGCCTTCTAGAGAACGCCAGGACTCCGAGATTGCTCAGGAAATCCAAGTGAAGCTGGTGTTTGAAGCAGAGCAGCGCCGCAAGCAAGAGGAAAAAGATGAGGTAAGTTTTTAAGCTGCAGGGATGGCAGAGCTATTTGTAGCAGCCCTTTCAGTGCTGGCATTTCTTGCAGGCAGTGCAAGCCACAGGAGTTGGCTTGCGTGGTGTCAGTTCTGGTCCTCCCAGACCTTGGCATGCACAGAGATTTTGTGGAGTCTTGTTACAGGAATAAGATACAGTCAGAGCCCTCACACTCAAGGGTCACAGGGTTGAAAGAAGGCAAGTAATGGCTGAGTATTGTTGAGGTGTTAATTGCTCTGCTGTAGGAAAGTGTAATTGCTTATGCAGTTTGAGATGTGCTTTCTTTCTCAAATGCCAGATGACAACTACTACTTTGGGAAGAATCCTGAGTTATAATGTCTTGGTGTTTGGTGCAAAGGCTTCAGTAAGACCCTCAGCTCAGCCATCCATCTCTGGCCTCTCCATTACCTTCCTTCATCTTCAGTTTAGTCTTTCACAGACTGAACGTTCTGTTGCAATTTCTTGTTAATAGATTCCTTTTGTGATTTCCTGCTGCTTGAAAGTGGGCAGTGTGGTTTATCCATGGTGTTCAAAGCATTTGGCTTGTTGATCACTTTATTGTGTCAGTCTGAGCAGTCTTAAAATGCTCAAGAGGCGCCTAGTGACACGTTCTCTTGAGGAAGAGCTTGAACACAAGGCTGTGTTTCCTGCAAGAACCTGAAATAAGAATCTAGCCTTATCTGAGAGATGCATCAGTTTGCTTGTGCAAGACCTCCTTTTCTTATACCATTAAGTCCAAACAGATGTGGAAGAGCTTCCAAGAGGAGATTGTGGCAACTCTAGCTGAAGGATTTATGCTAGAAATGTGACATCTGTCTCATTTTAATCTGGCAGGCAAAGGAGATGCAATACTATTCATGTTGGCTGTGGGAATTGCACTTTTCCTTCCTGCTCTACAGAGAGAGCTGCTGGGATGTCAGCAGTCTGACAGCAGGTTCCAGTAACCAGTCAAACCAGCATGCTGACCATCTTGTTCTGTTGTGAGCAATCTCCAAGTGAATGTGGCTCAGAGGAATGAGAAGTCATAAATATTCTTTCTCTTCCTGCTAGTACATGGGAAGTTCCCAAGTGGGGCTGAAATGTAACTGTGGACTAGGTTAGGCTGCAGCTGAGGACCAGGGCATGGGAAAACCACCCATCCTTGCACGGCATCTGTCATACCCTTCAGGGCACTGTGTTACACCAGTACTAGGCTAGTCTTGCATTTGTCACATGTGAGGGTGTAGTAGCTGCCCAGCATGTGGGATAACTCTGGCATCAGCAGTGGCTAGCAGTCTGGTGAACAAGGTTTTGAAATGAAGTGCTAAGCCTACCTGCTTACAAGTCTAGCTTGTGACAAATGGTTTGTGTGGATTTGCAAGTCTTGAGCAGCCTCAGTCCTGGAGATAATGTGCTTACGCTCATATATTTATAGACGTACTGTACTTGCTAGAAGAGTCAGGGGAAGGAATACTGGACTTTTTGTTTAAGGTTTTTTGGCTGTTTGTGTTTTTTGTTGTGTTTTGGTTGGTGGTTTGTTTTTTTTTGTAAAGAGCCTGTGGTATCCCCAGGTCCTCCACAAAGATGGTTACTGAGCAGATATGCTCTGAATCCTGAATTAATAGTTTGTACTTGAACACTCAGCCAGTGTCTTCCAGTGCTGGCTTTCATCTGGAGTGTGTTGGCTCTTAGTTTGCATTTCAGCAATGCCTTTCCTGCCTGCAATGTACACTTCACATGCATGGCTTTGTAAAGGTCCTGAGGATTAGAGAGGCTTACATGAATGGCATCTGAAGGGCTGGCATGCCCTGCTGGTATCTTCCAGCTTCTCTTCCTCACTTCAGACTAGCTTCACTGATTTGCAAGCTTCTGGGCCTCAAATGAGCAAGCCCCAGGGGGCTGTTTCCTGTTGCTAGACTTTGTTGATCCATTAGTCATCTTTGAAGGAAAACTAATTAGGAAAATGGAGCGCTGTTCTCCTTAATAGTATATCTACCAAACCTGTGACAGAAGATAAACAGCTGCAGTCCCCACAATGTTTCTGCCTTGTGCTAGTGCTCTCCTCTTAACATCCCTTTCGATTTTCTTTTCCTTCAGCCTCTGTCTGTCAAAGTGATGCATTTCTCTGTCTGCCATCCTACAGCCCCTTTAAATTACAGCTAGTTTGAAGCAAGTTCATGAATTGCTCTGGGAACCCCATCCAGTCAGAAGCTTCAGGTAGAGACAGTCTGTGTTTTCTTTTCCATGGTGGAGTCCAGGGAGGACATCCGGCCCAGCCCACTCATGTGAGCGTGTGCTTGTGTGACTTCCAAATCCTTGCTGAAAACCTGAGGATGCACATGCAGTCCCTTGTGCCATGCTTTGGCCATTAAGGCTTTACAGGTTTGTGTGCAGGTAGAACAGGAAACTGTGAGTCTGCTGTGGGCCTGGGTGAGGTTTGCTACTGGTTGCTGACATGGTCCCTTGCATCGACCAGTAAGTTGGAAGCCCCATCCAGTCCAGCAGTTGGATTTGAGAGTAACCCTCCTGTTGTCATGTCTGAAAAATTAGACTATCTGGATTTTTATGATTGAATACAGAGTTTGAATTAAAGGATCTGGAAATTATTATTATTTTTTTTTTTTTTAGGGTGGAAAGATAATGTCTGTTTTCTTCCATCTCTGCAGGATATTGCCCGTCTCCTACAACAGAGAGAACTGCAGGAAGAAAAAAAGCGCAAGAAGCACTACCATGAATCCCAGGGACACACAGGCTATGAAGATAGTTATTATGCAGAAAATGGAGGTATGTTTCTGCTAAAAGATCAAGATCGTGACAGTATAGATGAAGCTGGTGATCTCTCTTAAGAGATTTCCCTTGTCCTACAGTCCTGCATTCATCGCTGTAACATTGCATCAGTTTCCAGGGTCAGGACCAGCCTTTATTCTAGAATCAGGAAATACTAAAACAAAAAAAAAGCAGATAAGAAAATTTTATAATTTTTTATGTCCTAGGAGATGGCCTACAGGACAGGGATAAGGGTGTGTATTATGTGCACGTGCAAGCACTCTCATGCATGCATGTTTTGAAAGGGCTTGTGGAAAAAGACAGTAGCTGATGGTACTGATAAGCCACAGCTCCTTCTACGGAACACGGCAAGTGTGTGTGGGAGAAATGCAGACACGATTCTGCCCTTGCATTCAAAGAGAAACAGTTCTGTGTGATCATCTGCCTTGCTGGCACAGCTATGTACATGAAGGAATATACTTTAGTTCATGGAAAAGCCTTTCAAAAATAGCTCCTTGCAGGTATGTATCCAAGCTTCAAAATTAGCACAACTGCTCTGAATGACTTACTGAATAACAAGGTCATCTCCACAGATGTCTCTGCTGTGATTATCATCTGGGACTGTACGTTGTGGGAAAAGATATGACCCACAGCACTGTATTGCTTTCTCTTGGATGGCTTTTATGATTAAATGCAGACCTTCTTTAAATTGAGAGGAGAGAATCGGGGTGTGTTTAATTATGGAGCAATCTGGGGATGGCTTTGCTGTGCATTGGTGGTGGTTCTTGTGTTCTTCAAAAAAAAAACAAACGTGGTGGGGAAGAGACAGGCTGCTTTTGATTAAAACATTGTGAAGATGAAGATCAAACCTCTTATTTCTCATTTTAACATCAATGCCATTGGTGATTTAAAATGTCTTTTATTTGAGCTTACACAGAGTATTTTGGTTTCTATTGGGAAGAACTTCAAGTATGGCCAAGAAAACACAAAGCATGAAGTGCAGAACAGTAACCAAGTGGAAACTTTATGACCACAAGTCCTGTTATGTGTACAGAGCTGGGAAAGTCTTTGATCTTGGGAGTCTTATGGCCAACCCACACTTCAGTTTTTCAGAATTAAATAGGACAAATCCCTGAAAAAAAGCAGTATAGGCAACAGTCTTGCCATGCAGAGATGGTGGAGCAGGATGGAATTTGTAACAGAAATCAGCTGAAAAAGCCTGTGACTCTCTGAACTGAGACTATGGTGTAGATTTGGGAGAGCAAGATATCTCATGGCTCTAATTTTTCTTCCTGCAATAATCTGTATTCTTGGAGGTGAGGCAGAAAGTGTTTTGACTGACCATTCACAGTAGTACTGCTCTTGATCCGTGATTGTTAAAAACTAGAAAGGACTGGAATGGATTTTGATGCCTGTATCATCTAGTCCACTGGCCTGGAATCTTTTAAATACTTGACACCATTTAATTAGGCTTCAGCATCCACAATTTGTATTGTCCTTGTTACTTGTGAACTTAAACAAAAATGCCGTTGCTTTGTTTGAGTTTTAGTCTATCTTGAGACTGAATTTATTCACATCTAAGAGGAATGTGGGCTAGGGCTATTGCTCCAAATGATCTGAGCTCTTAAAAAGTGGAAAAATAAACATGAAAAAAAAAGGCTTGAGTTCCTCCCAGAAGTGTCTGTGCCATGAAAAACATTTCTGCGTTTGCTTAGTCACTTGCTGCTTGAGAGTGTAACACCAGGACCTAAAGAGTGTTTACACAGCCCCTGTGGAAGGTGCTGCAGGAACCAGTGTCTACTGAGGAGTTAATCACCCTGAGACACCCCAAAAGCAAATCTTCTGCTTGGGATGTCTGGCATGGTTGCACTAGCTCCAGCAATCCTTCCCAGCACAGCCATGCTTTGCTCTTTTGTGATCTGCTCTCTGCTGCTGTATTTTTTGAACTTTCTTTAATGACAAAATTTAATCAATTCTTATGCCCTTTTTAGCATTGCTCAAAAACTGACTCTTGCTTTCAGGCTTTGGTCTCCGTTGTTCAGTAAGTCACATAGATTGTTTTATTGGATATTTGTTCACTGTAAATCACATGAATTATCTAAAACTGAACAGAAAAATGAACCAGTTAACAGGAACTGCTGTGGTTACTCTTACAGTTCTTAGATTTTTAAAAATATACCTATTCTGGATAAAAGCCACACAGATAATTTTTTTTTTTCCCCAAGGTGGATTTTCTGTATTTTTGCTGGCTGTGAATTTTTTTTTTTCTGAATTAAATGACTTGAACATTCAGTGGTGTTTTTCTGCCCCCCCAAAGTCTAGATGATTGTAAGGAAGGCAGAGTTATTATTAAAACAGGGTGAAGTTCATGTTCAGTGAAATACTTTTAAAATATTTTTAGATATGACAAAAAACCACTTTTCAACAGTGGAGAAAGAAAGTCTTTTGCTGCTGGTTTTTGGGTTTTGGTTGTTTTGGGCTTTTTTTGTGTAATTCTGTTTCAAATCAGCCTCTGCTTCAAGGCAGTTTCAGAAATATGCCTTCATTCTGAAAAGCTGCTGTAGAAAGATAAGCGTTCACTCAGTGCAATTATTTATCTTAGCTAATAGTTTGATTGGAAAATCAGTAGACCAGTATGCAGGCAGACTGCTGCACCCTCATAGCTGGGTCAGGTTTAGTACTGAAACTAAAAGCAAAGAAAATTTCCACCTGCTTTCTGGAAAGAACAGAGGAAATAGTCCCACCAAGCTGCTGAATAAGCAGCTTTTCCAGCTACATTGCTGAGGTCAGGAGCCTGGGTTTTGTGAACTCTTATCCTGCCCTTAAATTTCCATAGTTGCAGTCAGAGACTAAACTTTTATTTAGAAAATGGAAGTGTGGGCCCTGAAACTTCTGGGTCTGCAAGAGGTATGTGAGTCTTTAGTGGAAGATCCTTGGATGCTGCAGCCATCCATCATCTCCTTCGTTTTTATTAGAAAAAGAATTAATCCCATCTCGCTTGTCTTTTTTTTCTTTTTTTGCTTTATGTGAGTCTTTCCCCATGAGGTGAGACTGGTTTTTTTCTGAGGAAAAACCTTGTGCCTCAAGCCAGGGCGAGACACTAGTGCCCATACCCCAGGATCCTCTGACCCTCTGCTTGGCCCCTCCTGGCCTTATGCCCAACCCCCTGTGGCCTCCCTGCTTCACCTGCCTTTTGCACGATCCTTTGCAAGCCTTTTCTCTCTGATGGCTCCAGTATCTTGCAGCAGCAGCATGTCACCAGGAGATAAGCTGCTCTGCTGACTGTTTTTTAACCCTTAATGGCATCATTAAAAGTCCTTAATCTCCTTGTCTTAGGAGATGCTTGTCCACACTTCTTGGGTGGACTTGCTTCAACCCCATTGCCTCCCGTGCTGGCCTGCTGCCCTCTCACTGACCTCTCTTCTATCCTGTGAGCTTATATCCCTTATTATATTTCTTTCTGACCACACTGTGCTTTGCCTGCATTTCCAACTTCTTGCATCAGGCTCCCTCATCTGCACACTGAGTCTGGCCTCGTTGAGCCACCATTAACCCCTGCACCACTAACCTGCTCCTTGTTTGTCCCCCCGTTGCTCAGAGGACCCCTGGGGTGACACCAGAGAGCAGGTTTCTGAGCGTCGCAGGGCACACAGTGGTGACGGACGCACTCACCGGCGGAGAGAGCACCAAGAAACACCCTCGTCTTTGTCCAGTGGTACCCCCAAACATGGGCATTCCCCCTTGGAGAAACGTTGGAGGTCTCCTCAACCAAGTGAGGCCAGCAATGGCTATCAGCAGGAGTGGAAATCAGCCAGCCACGGGAGTTCCAGGAGATCTCCCAGCCTTGATCTGGAAAGAGAGGCTGAGCGCGACACCCGTGGCCTCAGCAATAGTTGGGAGCCTCAAGAGAGGAGAGCAACTGGCAGAGAGAAGGCTTGGAGACCTCCCAGTCTTGACCTGGAGTCCGAGCATGGACTTGCAGACCAATCACGACGCAGCAGAAAGCCCTCAAGGCAAGACAGAGAAAAGCACCTTCCTCTTCTTGAGGTGGAACTGGAAGCTGAGCAGGAGACCTGGCATCAGGGTGGCAGCCAGCAGCTGCGCCCTGAGAAACACAAACCTCGTCACCAGAGCCACTCGTCACACAGGACAGCGCGTGACGAGAGGCTCCGTGAGGCTGAATCTAGAGATGATCATAGGAGGGGTAAGGAGAGAGACTGCAAAAGGGCAGGACACAAGAGATGTTCCCCCTCCCCTCGTGCTGTGACCCAGGGGAAGGCTGGAAGCTGCCAGCAGGACTCAGGTAACCAAGGGATGGGGAAGGCGTACAGATGTGTGGGGACAGACCTTTGCGTACCCTGTCCTGGTGTCTGACATCTGTACTGTTTCTTTTGAAGGTGCTTGTCTCCAATATCCACATGCAATGTGTACACGGTGAATCCTGCCCAGGTTTCTCCCTTAGTTAATGAGATTATTTTTCTCCATTAATGTTCTTGCTGTTTATTTCCTGACATGTTCCATGGCAACAGGAGGATAAGTAAGAAGGTGTTGTTGGAAATGGTATCCTTGGTATTCTGTGTTTAAGAAAAAAAAGCAAACTTCCCAAACTACCAGCTTTTGTTTTCATAATATGTTTTTTTCTGCGGTCTCCTTGAACAGGAGGGACAAAAAACAAACAATAAACACCAAATGTTTGATGACACTTGTATTTTGTTGATTTGGAATGCAGGGCTGTAAGTTTGCTTAAGCACTAACAATTTTGGCCAGCAGTTTCCATCCGCTTCTTCCTGAAAACCCTGTTGGCAACATAATAAATCCACTGAAGGCAAAGTTCAGTAGTGGCACTAGGTTTCCTACTGGGGTCTATTTGTAAAATGGGGTTCTTGTAAAAAAATCTGTACAAGTGGATTTTTCTGGGAAACGTAACTGTGTAGCTCTTGTTGTTCAGTAACACCTGAGGACTGGCAGGCTCTAAAGATCCATCTTTCTGCTTTTAAAAATGTGCTGGGGGTGGAGGTGACCTGTGTCTTAGTGAAAGCAGGAGTTTAGAAACTTTGGGTCTGTGTCTGTCATAGTGTGAGAAACTTGTGCTTTAAGCCATCTAACTGGTCTACACTTGGATGAGGTGGGGATGATAATGTGTGTCTGTCTCTGGAGATGCTGGGAAAATTATTCTTTGTCTTCATCATGCAAAGGTTTTCTTTGGAGAAGTATAAGGCATTAATCAGGTCTTTACATCTAACCAGTAGTCTGTGATTTGCCCTGAGACAATATAAGTCCAAGTGATTCAGTATCCTATTGTATTGAGTCAGAATATCCAGAAGTTCACATCCTCTTCCAGGGGTCCATGGTCATCATGGGCTTCATGCTTCTCTGAGTGTGGGCAGAAGTGACGTGGAAGTAATGTTTATTGTCATCTGAGCAAATAAAGCCTGGCACTGATCAGCGTGTGAAGAAAGCTCAGCCTTGGGCTGGCCAGCAAACAATTCCTGGAAATTTATTCTTCACAGAGGTGGTGGTGTACAGGAGCCTGTCACCACACTGTTGTTCATTCCAGCATGGTAAAACTGTTTTCCTTGACCTTGGAAAAATGCTGAATAATTTAACTCTGATCAAGCTGGTGCTTTTTGCCAGAGTTCTGTGCTGGCCATAGACTACAGCTCTTCAGAGCTTGGATTGATCCAAGTGTGCTGGGAAAGGCCAAGTCATATGCTTAATGCCAGAGCTGAATCTTTCTTATGCTGAGATGGTTTGTCAGAGGGGTGTTAATTGCTTAAGATCACTGACCAGTTGATTCAAACAAAACAAAAAGCAGAACCCCCCCACACACCTCCTTTAATACCTGTCTAAGAGGTGGTTTCCTGTTCCATGGCTTTATTCCTGAATCAGGTCTCAGGCTCTCTGCAGTTTTGAAGGCTTTGGGACACTTGGTGGAGTATGATGGTGGTTTGTTGGTAAATACACAGAAAGATTTTTGAGGTCAGTTGGTTATTTCATGTCTTTGCCTTGATTTTACAAGATGGGAAGGAAACTGATAGATGACCCAGCGAGATGCAATGGGTATAATAACTGTGTAAATGATGTAGCTGGAGGCATAAGTTTTGAGTGAAGCTTTGAGGTGTAAGAGAGTCAAACAGCTGGAGTGTTTGTATTCTTTGGAGAGAAAGCAGAAAACTCATTTATATGTTTGAGATGTCTGAACGATAGAGTTCAGACTGCAGATGGAAGGAGAAAGCATCCATTGTATGGCAGTGAAGTCATGCATTTTAGAACAGCAATACTGTGAGACTCCTTTGATGGTCTACTGCAAATAGACTATGGAGAGACTCTCAAAATACAACATTTTAAATCACTTGGAGATGGTTTAACTTAAATTAACAAAATATAACTCCATACTCAAAGCAAGAACTGAACCTTAGATGTACTTAATGTTTGCTTGACTGTTTTCTCACTTTGTTAGTTAGGCCGAGGAAGAAATTGTCTGAAACCTCACATAGCCTGTCCTGGGCAACTTCTGAGCCTGTACTGCTCCAGCAGTGTGTTCACAGTCTCTGCTGTGCCCATAACAGATGTTGGGCTGCTCTTCTGCTGCTTTTGCCAGTGTATCTGTATCAACATAGTGTGGAAATGTATGACCCCTTTGCTAGCATCGCTGTGTCAGCAAAGACTGCTTCAAGGGCCATGGTCTCTTCTGCCATATAATTGCATTGTCATATAAGACATGATGTATCAGATATTTCTATATGCATAGAGAAAGTTCCCTAAGCTGTGTGCTGCGCCTCAGCTAAAGGTCCTCTCAAACCAGCTGTCTGACAGGTACAATGTCCTGGGCTCTGGTTCCCTTTAGGAGAACTTTTACAGGTGGCTGAGGAGGTGGCGGGGATGCCCTTACTAAAGCATCTGGAAAATGGTTGAGTTAACTGTTTTCTCTCACAATTCTGTAGGCACTGAACAATATATGTATGGTACACCCCGAAGGGAGCAGGAGTTGTCTGATGCAGAGATTGCTCGGAAGCTGCAGGAGGAAGAGCTCCTGGTAAGTAGAGAGGATGCATTAGTCAACTTGAAGGAACTAAGGTAGCTAGCAGTTAATTTGTAATCCTTTTATATATGTTAGTGACTTTAAGACCTAAGGTGTTGCTATAGTGCATTCTAGTAATTACCTTTGTCTCCCATACACAAATATGGAGTGATGGCTACCATCCAATCAGCAGAGCCCTATTTTCTGAAACAGGCACCCCAAACTTAAATAATTGAAGCAGAGTGATATTAAATCAGCATTTCCAAACAGGTAAAGATGGCCTGTAGCATGGCAGTGTGTCAGCCCAGAAGTGAGACAGACCCAGTGCCTATCTTTGAGAGAGAGGGCAGCGGGGTGGGCAATGCATTGTGGTGTGGCAGAGAGATGAGGACAAAACTCAGCTCAAAAGATGGAATAGCTGTTTGGTGTTGGGTTGTGAGGTAAGTATTGAGGCAAACTGGGCTAGTGGAAGGTGTCACTGCCCATGCAGGGGTGTTGAAGCTAGATGATATTTTAAGATCCCTTCCAACCCAAACCATTCTATGATACTATGATTTGGAGAGGATGGTAGCATATTTGTATGGGCACCTACTTGCCATGCACAGTAGGTTAATGGGTGTGAATAATTCAGATGTGTTAACACTTCTGTCTCTTTTTTTTCTCCACCCCCCCCTGGTGTTTTGTTTTTGTGTTTTTTGTTGTGTTTTTTTTTCAGGCTAGTGAGGCAGATCAGAAGGCAGCTCAAGTAGCCCAAGATGAGGTGAGCAAGAGGTCACTTTTTTCTGGTATTCCTTTACTTGTGGAAACAGCTAAACCCCACATGTCCCCTCCAACCCTTTATTTATTTCCCTCCTTGTAGGGGAAGCTCAGGGTTCCAATTGGGTTTGTTTCTAGCTGGTTTTCATATATGTGCTCAGGCTGGCCAAGCAGGGAGTTGTGCTGCCTGTTGCAGCCATGGCAGAGGAAGGAAGTTTGTGGCTATGTAACAGATTCTCTTGTAACTGACCTCCAGGGCAGACTATCAGAGATGCTGTGAGATGACCTCCTGCATTGAAGGAAAAGAGCTAAAGGGCAGAAAGGCTCTAAAAATGCAATTCTGGCAAATCAGGAAAAAACTGGGCATACTGCATGTAGTCAGTCTTAATTCTGCCCTGTCAGTTGACTTCTGATCACAGATGAGTGAAATCTTGGCTTTGTACCCTTCCCATTCAACACCTGTCCATAAGAAAGGGTTTAAATAACTCAAACCCAGAAGAGCAGTAAAACCATCTGACACACTCTCTGTATTTTTCTATTTTAGGAAATAGCTCGACTCTTGATGGCCGAGGAGAAGAAGGCTCTCAAGAAAGAGAAGGAGAGAGAAAAGTCTTCCTTTGAAAAGAGGAGGCATGATCAGGACTGGAAGGTATGTCAAGCTTCAAGAGGCATCACAAATGAGGGTGTGTGGTAAGAGCAAAAAGAATGATGCAGACTTGCATCCAAAGGGTCTTGTCTGTTACTCAGCTGCTTCCCAAGCCTCTTGGAGCCACCTCCTTGGTTAGATGCTCTTTAGATTCAAGCAAGGTAAGCCTTGGGCTCTAGCCTTGGAGGGGTTAGTGCTGGATGTCACAGCACCCTCAAGCACTCTGGCCTCCCTCAAGCACTGTCAGTCCTCCTGGTGCAGGACCTTCTCTCTGCTGAAACCCTGACGGTTTCAATAAAAGCAGTAGTTGGCTTTTTTTGTACACTGCACATAAAAGGACAGCACAGCTCCTTCAGTTGTCACTGCTTCATAATAAGCTTGGCTTTATAATGAAAGTATAGAGTGTATCAAGTTTAGGTTTTTGTTTCAGTAAATACTGCAGAGGCTTGGCTAGCTGATGTGGAAGGTGATAGGAAATGTGTTTCATAGTCTGCACTGCTAAGGTGCTAAAGGGGGTGTTGTGTTAATTTGGGACCAGCTGGAAGTAGCTCTGTTGTTTTTCAGCCTCCTTACTGGTTTTGAGAGTTTGCAGGAGCACAGCTGCATGCAGCTGGTCCCCCCTGCTCAGCCCAGCCTTGTGCACAGTCATTGCACACTGACTATGCTGGACCCCAGCCTTGGGATGGGTCACCCAGCACTGTCACATATTTAGAGAAACAATTGAGTTTGGCTTAGCAGTGTTAATTTGGGACCAGCTGGAAGTAGCTCTGTTGTTTTTCAGCCTCCTTACTGGTTTTGAGAGTTTGCAGGAGCACAGCTGCATGCAGCTGGTCCCCCCTGCTCAGCCCAGCCTTGTGCACAGTCATTGCACACTGACTATGCTGGACCCCAGCCTTGGGATGGGTCACCCAGCACTGTCACATATTTAGAGAAACAATTGAGTTTGCCTTAGCAGAAATGGGTTTCATTTACTGGAAGCTGGTCCTGGCACTGCCACTGGCACATACCTGGCTGTAGTTGTGTGTAGCAACTGAGCATGAAGGGGCTGCATGGAGCTGTGTCAGCTTCTGTGCACTAGCTGGTGTCTTGTGAGGCCTGCAGATGAGCTGCTTTCCCTTCTTCCCATCAGCATGATGCAAGTGAGTCCACACGCTCAAGGTCGAAAGAAGGACCTGACGCTCAGCGACACAAAGGCGACAGGTCTTCAAGGTAAGCTGGAACTGCTGGTAAAAACTGGGAAACACGGCTGGGGAGCAGCTTGGAAGCTGAGTCCTAGGGAGGAGGTGTGGGGTGACCAGCCTGATCCACCTGCAAGGGGCCTGGTGGGGAACAGAAGTTTTAGGACTGAAAAGAGATGGAGGGCACAGAGCTCGTGAGGTGTTCAGTGACCTGTGTCACTCCCTGTGCTTGTGGCATTTGTCCATATCTGTCTCCCTGCCTGGCACTGGCAGAGATTGATGAGCTTGTGCAGTGACATTTCTTAAATGACAGAGAAACACTGAGGGGTTTAAAGAGCTTCTAGGGATGTGAAACCAAATGTCATTTCTGGGCAGGAAGAAGTAATTGTGATGCATTTGCACAGCTGCTCCCTTGGGTCCTTGCTCCCAGTTACGCCCTGTACACTGTTCCTGCTGCTACATGTGGACACCCCCCAGCAAGCAAGTACCTTGTACTTTGGGGTACCTCATCCCAGAGCTGATGGTAATAGGCTGTAGCCCTGTGCTGCTTCTGAATCACTTGGTACCCTGGCTGGATGCTCCTCATGAGGGACTGAACCTTGGAAGTGCCCTTGGTGGCTTTGATTTCTGACCCAGATATGAGCCTAGAAATTCTTGTTGAATTTGCAAAAGAAATAACAAATGAAGGGTGCAGGTGGAGACTGAGGGAGATCTTAAAATACTCTGGAGTTAAAACTGGGCAACCATAAAACCCTTTAAAATGTTGTTCTATTGAACAAGGCTTGCATCAAACTTAATAATGGAAATTCTTTGTTTCTTGACAACCTGAAACCATTACTAAATAAAAGCAGTCATTGTTCAGGGGAGCTGGTCTGCAGTTGCAAAGTCTGGGACAGACACAGTTTGCATCAGACTGACAGGGGCAAACGAGGCAGCTGAGATGTTGCTTTTGTCATGCTGTCAAGTCTTCGAGTTTTTTCCCATTGCTTTTTTTCCCACTGTGCTTGGCAGGTCACAGCCTCCCCTCGATGACCACGCTCGGTATTACACAAGCCAGCCCAGTCCCTTGCGCCAGATGCCCAAACCTGAACACTCCCCTAGAGGTAGGATCAAGCCCATGGTTGCCCTAGCACTTGGATTATTGTGGCCCCTTTTCCTTAAATAAGCAGCCTGCAGGTCAGGATGTTTGAAAGAGATGCTAACAGAGAGGAAGAACAGGTATTACTGCCCCAGGAGGCAGGTGAAGTCAGTGTTTGACTTGTACTTGCTGCGCACGTTGCAGGCTGAGAGACTAAAAAGCTGAATTGGTTTGTCTTGAGTTTATCGAACTGCTTTCTTCCTGTCTTCTGTGATTTCTTAGTGATAAATGACTGCAAATCCAGGCAGCAAATTAAGGAAAAATAACATGAAGACAATGACATGATGGATTTCAAGTGACTCGCTAATATCAAACAATCTGACAGAAGACAAAACCTCGCAGTATCACCTGTCTGGCAGGTGAATGGGATGATCAGACAGAAACTTGTCCTGAGAACAGGCTTGTTTTGTTCCTGTAGCATCTCAGCATTGCTTTGTTGACTTGTTTCCCAAAATCATTTGGCCTCCTCAGTTTTTAAAATCTGAATATCAATTGTCTGAGTTATCTGTAGAGTGTCTCAGGGAGTAAAGGGACAGCCAGAGTTCGATTAAAATTTCTTCCAGCTCCACTGATTGTGACTTGAATGTGGGCAGTTTACTTCCCAAAATGTAAAGCTTTGGATTTTTTTTTCCCAACAAACAAGCTGGAAGGTTGATGGCACCTTACAGAGTCTGTAAGCCCCATGTTCATTCTGTTTTCTTTGATGAGACTGTGCAATGTGGCTCTAGTGCCGTTCACAGCCTAGAAGATACGTGAATGTCTGCCTCTCCTGCGGCCCTATCCTTCCTCCTGTCTGAGTAATGTAATGTGGTTCTCATTTTGGCATTTGATTTTACCACTACCCTGGAAGTCACAAAGGCATCTAAGAGGGCAGGACAAATAAAAGATGATTGCAAGTAGTATTTTCTTCACTCAATTCTATCCTTACAGGTTATTTTTTTTCTGTTTTGCTTTCCAGGTCCCCGTAGGAAGCAGTAAACTGTGCTCACCTTTACTTTGGTACTGACTCTTCTGTAGCAAACATTACTGGAATTGCCAGGCAACTTTCTCAATTCCTTACCCAATGGGAGGCACAGCCTCCAATCCTAGGATCTCCTCTTTAAGTGTTATCGTATTAATAAGGAACACTTGTTTGTTTCAATTTCTTACTCGTATGTGATCACGTAAGCAGTGCAGTATAATCTAGCCGCCATGGAGCTGTGTGAATCAACTAGCTGACTTAACAGCTGCCTCTTCTATTCTTTTGAGGCTTTCCTTTTTATTTTTAAGTTTTGGCTGGAGCTTTGACAAATAGGACAAATAGAGATGCACGTACAACAGGGAGGAAAATCCAAGATATGAGCTGGGTTATGGTTATGCAGCAGAATGTCAGAAGTACAAGTCCTTTCCATATTAGGATGACTTAGCAGAGAGAGTTATAAGAGGAAACATGTTTCTTCCTGTGTGGGATAAGACAGCTGAGCCAACCTGACAGCCGTGCAAGCTTCAGGAATGAGAGAGAATCTTCCTAACATACTCCAGCAAAAGCCAGAACCTGGGACTGGTGAGGAAGAAATTGTTGATTTCCTAACTGCTGTGTAGAAACACTGGGGTTTCCAGCAATCTGGGTAGAGTGTGTAACCAGGCATTTAGCTCCAGGATATAGGATAGAACAGTTATGAGGAAATACTATTTCAACTGAAATTGGACCACGTGCTCATGACTTTTAAGACATGCCAAGGGTTGATTAAGCTGTGAGTTGTGGATTGGGAGGAATCATACAAACAAATTTAAATGCCTGAAGGGTACTCTGTGGTCACCTCCTTTGAGCTTCAGTGTGGTAGAAGCCAAGGAATTTTACTGAAGCCAAGTAGAAACTGCTGTAGCTCCTAGCTCTGTTGCTGATGCACTTTTGTACAGTAATTTGTGTCTGAACCTGCATATTCTTGGACACCTGGGACTGAAGGAGGGCCATATGGGCACTGAGCATTGAATCAAAAATGTAGTTACTGGCAACTTTGAGCTAGCCACAGAGTGCTGAACAGTCCCCACAGTGTGCTGAGTGCCTCCCCTCCACACTACTCCATGTAGCACCCCACACAGACCTTATCCAGTCAGGATAAAGCTATGACTCTATGACACAGCAAGCTCTGCAAGTGTAAGTTGTCTGTACAGATTTGCCCATGCAGTGATTTTTTTTTTTTTTTTTCCCCTTTCAATGACTTTTCTCTCTGCTCTTTGAAAATCCTCCTCCTCTTGCACAAACAAGTAGCCTTTTCCCTTGGGCTCCTCTCATTTCAATTTTTTTGTCTTTTTAATAATTTATTTTCATTATTTTCAAGTACATCCTTAAACAGCAAAGCTGAGCATCTGCACACTGGTGGGTCCAATATGGTCTAGTTACTCATCTGCCGGTCCAGTTCAGGGCAGCAAGCCTGCCTGTGTTGCCCCTGTAGCCCAGCTTCCTTATATCACTGGGTCTGTTCTACTGTGCTCTTCTGCTGGCAGCTACAATTCTGTTGCTGGCCTTGCTGAAGAGGGGAGGCAGAACCATGGCTGTACTTGCCCTCACCAGCAATCTGCCTGGGAAGGGACCCTGACAGTTTCAGAGCTTTGTGGACAGCACATGTTGGCATGGAGCACTGGTAGGAATTTGGAAGAGATGATGGCTCTCTGCTCTTGCACTAATGCACAATTCAAGCCCAGAGGCAGCTATAAGGCTTTAAGCTTGGCTGTTGTCCTTGGTCAGGACAGTTAAAGACAAATCACTAGGAAGGCAAGGCATCTCTTCTCCACGTAAGTTACAAGGGCATGTTAAATATCACAGCACAAGCCCATACCTTGCCTTAACCAACAATTGAAGGAACTTCCATCATCTAGCTGCACTGGGATGTTTGCAGCATTTCACTGCCTTTGAAGAAACAGTTAACCCCCAGTAGACCTCTGCTCCCGGCACACACAATGGCCAAAAGTGTTGTAACATAGGACTTTTTTGTGCATCAGCAGTGTCCTGTTAGCTGTGTACCTTTGCTTCCAGACCGTGAGCTTGTTCACCTGCATGAACCCTTAAGTGACTTGCAAGCCCTTGCTTGCTGCTTCTTCTCAGGAAATACCCCAGCCAGCGGCTAGATTTTACTGTCCTTGCCTTGTTCCCTCTTCTAGTTCCATCTCTGTCCATTCAGAAGTGTTATTGTTGTTTTAAAGGATCCAGAAAAGGAAAAACATGGATCATATTTTTTCTTTATTTGATAACTTGGGCCAATGTGGTAACCTCATTTGCAATGATTTAATTTTGTAAAACACTTATTTTGATATTTCATGTAACAGTCAAAATTTCTACTGATGAAAATGCAGTGTTTTTTGTTGCTGTTTGTTTTTTTTTCTCCTGTGGGTTTTTCCTCTCTATTGCCATCAGAGTATTTATTTTTGTGAAATGGATGCCTGATGGAGTTTTATGAACTCATAATTTCTACAAACACCCCAGTCCAGGCCCTACTGCTTGTATGATCTTGTGCACTTGTGGAAACTGGATGGGGAAAGTCCTGCCAAATCAGAAAGTGGTTGTGCTTTGTATTTGCTGAGCATGGGGAAAATGGTGACTCTCTGCACAAGGCAAGGGGAAACCACTGACTAGGAATTCAGCCCTCCCTGGGCCTCTGTAGCTGGCTATGATGAACCTTCTTGCACTGCAGTTGGCTGTAACTTCTGTCTTACTCTCACCACAAAGGTCATGAAGGCCTTGAGCCTGGTGACATTTTAAGAACCTGTTATTTCAGGAGGGATGCTTGGGAGTATCCAAGTTGTTGACTTGAAGGGAATGAGTGAAAATTATATGAGAGAAAACTCCAGTTGATTTTATTTGGAAGCTGGGTGAAGTCTGAGGAACACCTCAGTGCTTACTCTGTGGAGCTATGGGATCTCCTTAATGGCCTTCTCAGGCCAGCCAAGCTCTCTAGCCGTGGCACCAAGAGGCAAGAGCCTAAGGGAGTGATCCCAGGAGTATCTGATGCTTCCTCAGATGCTTTCAGGGAGTGCTGAATGCTTTATGGGCTGCTTTGCTCTATATCCTCCCTTAGTCTTTAGATTGTTGTTCTTACTCCCTACCTTTATTCTTTTGATGTCCCTTGTAAGAGATTATCCTGTTTATTTTTCCATAGTCCTTGTGAAAAGGAGAGCCCTGAGGTTTTGTTTGAAGGAGCTTATTCAAATTGAGGTAGACAAATGTGAGGAATGGTACCTGAGGAAAGGATTTAGTAAATGGGGTTTAAACAGAGAAATTGTTCATCTAATACACCTTGTAGGCCTCATGCAGTCAGCAGGTTAGAGGCTTGCTGAGACAAAGGTTGCAACTGGACTACCGTGGTTAGTGACCACTTTTGGAAGGAGATCCCATGGTCCAATTGAAGTCAACAAGAGTTAAGATCATGGATGAACAAGGAGCCAATTAATCTTGGGCTCAGCAGCCATGGTTCTGCTGAGAGTCAAGAAGATGCATCTTGTGTAGACAAGGTGCAAAATCAGCACCTTGCATGTGTGTCCCTGGAAAAAGGCACAATGAAGTTGATCTTTTTAAAAGAATCAATCACAGCAATACTTCCTTTCTATGACAGAAAAATGCTTAACTTTATTTTTCCTTTGTCCTATCTTGCCAAGCTTCAGTAGCTTTGCCTATGGTTTTGTTCTGGATTTAGTAGCATGTCAGAGTCCTTGCTGGGGCCCTTGCCCAGAGTCATTCAGGTCTTGCATCCCTTTCTGACTCTGTGCATTTACAAGGCAACAGACTCCACGCGGAAAATTCATCCTGATGACATCCTGGCACTTCCTAACCTCCACAGAAGGCACATCTCACCAGCAGAAGCTCTGGCACCTCCTCACCTCCGTCCAAGCACAATGCTCTGGTCTGCAGACAGGTCGGGTGAACCCGAGTGATCGTGCCTTACAAGCAGAGATACTCGATGTCTTCAGCAGGCTCAGCTATGTCACCCTGCTTTGAAACACTGTCTTAATGTGGACTGTGCATCATCCTGCAGTGAGAGCAGTTGTTGGCACATGGAGAGATCCAGCAGGTTAATCTCATCTTTTTTTTTTTTTGTTTTTTTTTTTTTAAAGAACTTCATGGTTGTGAACTTAGTGGAGGTGGGAAAATATCAGCTGTTAAGGGACAGATGAAGCCTCATCATTGAATTTCTCCTCTTGGAATGGAAGGACAGAAGTTACAAATGCTGCAGTCTGCTTCATTCTGTAAAAGGGATCTTGTATGTACAGTATTTTTATATCTCTGCATTCCCACCTGTCAGGATTTGAATCAGGATTATTAACATTCTCTTAGGGGAAAAAAAAAGCATTTTTATTTTTACAGTGCTAGACCTTTGTGCATTTTTATTTTGTGCCAAATTACTGCCACTGTTATATTCTGGTGTTTTCAGTTTACTGATATTTGATCGATGTGTATATTATATATTTTTATTATCAAGGTTTTTATTTTAATTCATATTAACCTGTATGCAAACTAACTGTGGATTGCTAATTTATATATAAAGGGGAGCACTTGGAGACAGTGTGAGGATTCCCCTACTTAGTTTACACTCTTGTAATCTAATGCAACCAGTACATGAAACTCATTGCTTCTTGCACAGAATGATCTCCTGGGTGTCTGTCAGCCCGAGCAGATTGCTCCTGCTGTTCCTCCAGGCAGCAGTGGCACTGCAAGGCTGTGGGAAATGCAGCAGGAAATGCAGCACAGCTCATAGCATGGACTGATGGGTGACCGAGCTCTCTGCTGTCCTGCTCCTAGCAGTGATGCCAGGGAGGATGCTGCAGCTGGAATTCCCAGCTGGGGGTGACTTTGGTTACTTTGTCCTGCACTCCTACCCAGCTGATGGACAGTTGTGGTTTTGCCCCACTCTCCGGAGATGCTCAGTGCTTAATTTTGCAGTTGGTTTGGGAGGTGGGGATGGGATACAGCACTGGGCACAAGCAGTGCCCCTCACATCGAGTAT